TCGTACGGCGTCCAGGCGAACACTTCGATGTTAGAGGTTAAGAATTCTAAAACCTCTAATCTCTCAGTGCTGGACAACGACGAACCGAGCAAAAAGAACTTATCCGGGTTCTTTTCGTCTATTCTTACCTCTACCAAGTCTTCCACTGCTTTCTGATCAGCCGCTTTGCCGACATCTGCGAATAGCTCATTGCTCTCAAGTTCTTCTACCGAATGAACGTATCCTTTGGCAGCGCGACTGCCGTTCACCGTGACGAAGCATTGCTTCGACATGATCTGATCTCCATAGACTTCTTCAATTACCCCGGCATCGTTGGGGAACCGCATTACTTGGTGGTAGGATGACGCCACCGATCGCATGGCATGCAGCCATGTTCTGCCCAAGATGATGTTGTAAGTGGAGGGGACCTTCAATACCCAGAACTCCACTTGTTTCGTCATGCTTCCTGCTCTGACTGGAAGAATTACTTTGCCGACGGGCCATTCTGGCATGGAGTTGAATCCAATTAGGGGAGATACGGCAGGCGCCAAGTCTTTGTCTTGCAGCTTCAATTGTTTAAATGTTTCGTAGTACATGATTTCACATGAACTACCCTGGTCAATCAGAATCCGCTAGACGTCAAAATCCTTGACTCGGAGAGTGACGACCAGGGCATCATTGTGGGGGCAATATATCCGTTCTAAGTCTTTATCCGAAAAAGACATGACGTTGGTTGCATCTGTCTTCCCCTTCTTGATAGCAGGTTGTGCACTTAGCACCTCTCTAAAGTGCTCAGCCTTTTTGATTGATCCCCTGAGCTCGCATACACGGTCAGGTTCAAAAACTCCATGTATCACATTGATAATGCCTTGAGGCGGAGCGCCGATTGGCATCCCATTGGGGTTATTATGGTCCTGGGGGGCTGGCTGCGTCCCTCCTTCAATGTATTTATCCAAGTGACCTGCCGCCACCAACTCCTCCAGGTGCTGTCTCAATGGTGTGCAATTCTCAGTGCGGTGCCTCTTTTCTTTATGGAAGGTGCACCGCGATCTTTCGTCGTAGTCTTTCTGTGATTCTCCCAGCTTGGCTGGCCACTTGACGAAAGGTTCATCTCGTATTTCGCTCAGAATACGTTAAATCGGTTTCTTGAACACCGTGGTTATGGCAGTGCGGATTCTTAACCATCTTTTATCCGGGTCTTCTCCGTTATCTCGTCTGCCACGTCCGTTTCTGTTCGGTCGATCTACCGTATTAACCTTTGCCGAGGTCTTCTTTTCTGGTATTGTGGTCGCCCTAGATTTTGCTTTGGCACGTGCACCATCCTCTTCTACCCTGATGTGCTGATGCACTCTTTCTATCAGGGCTTCCATGGTGAGGGGTGGCGTCATGGTGATCGAGTCCCTTAGTCTGTTCCCGACTGGAAGGCCTCTTTTATACTGTGCAATGGCGAGATTGGTGGGGCAGTCCCCAATCTGATTGAATGTCTCCCAGTAGCGACTATTGTAGGATCTAAGGGTCTCTTTATCGCCCATGTCGATGGAGAGTAGCTGGTCGATCTCTACCGGGGTTTTAGTGTTTGTTCGAAATCTTGTTACGAATGCCTCTGCCAATTGCGCCCAAGAGGCTATGCTGCCCTCTGGAAGTTTCTCGAACCAAGTCAAGCCTAGGTCGCCAAGGCTAGATGGGAAGAGTATGCACATTAAGGCCTCGTTTCGTCTGTATACAGCCATGACCTGGCGAAAGTGGCTCAAGTGCGAGTAGGGGTCCGTTTTCCCTTCATATGTAGTGAATTTGGGCTGAAGGAAGCCCGATGGTAGGGGTGCGTTTTCAATCGCCGGAACAAACGGCGAAGTCTGCAGTCTTGCTAACGCTTTGTCCGTTGGTTCGTAGGCTGGGCGCGGTATTGGCATTCCAACCTCGACGCTTCCATGCGTCCGAGGAGCCAACCGCTGTAAGGCAGAAACTCTGTGCGGATCCCGTGCCCTGGCATCCTCCTTGCATCGTGCTTTTTCTTTAAGCACGGTTCGTAAGTCGGATGATCTAGGCAACTCTGTCTGTCTAGATCTGGTTTGGTGCGAATGTGAGGGCCAATACGTGCTTCCTTCAGTGTATGACTTTTCAGATCTCGTCCTCTCAGACCTGGAGTGACGAGTTTTGGAAGACCTGGATCGAGTATCGCCTGTCCTGAGGCTTCTGCTCTCTCCTTGCGAGGGTGTGGTATTCCTACTATGATTTTCTGAGTGGCGAGGGGGCGTCTTGTTTTTGCGCCCCTCTCCTGTCGTCACTCCTTTGTTCTTTATCTGGCGCTTCAAGGCCTCCATGTCCGCCGCCATTTTCCTTATCAATTCGTCTTGCTTCTTCACGCGGTCCTCCAGCACTTGAGGATCAATCCTCCGCCTTTGCCTATCAGGACTTTGCAAACGAGAGTGATGGGGGCTGTTAGTCCACCTCCTCCCCCTGGTATCCCTCCTAGGATTTTGCCGTTGGGACTCCAAGTCTACCATGGGAGGGATAGAAGGTAATCCTTCACGCCTTGTGCCCCCATCTGGAGTTTGTCCGTCGATGGGGGAATGTGGCAATTCTTCAACGTGCGCCATTGTTTGTAAAGAGGAGAAGCTTGATCAAGAGGTTTTGTTCTGTCTGTTTTTCCCACAGACGGCGCCAATTGTACGGGAAAGAAATAAACCTTCTCGTATAATCCTGTTGATCAAGTCTGCGCTCCTCTGTACGTCGTCGCTTTATCACCTGAAAACACAAACGTGAGCTAGCAGGCGGGTGTGTGCCGGAAACCTCTCCGATGCCTAAGTCAGTAAAATAGACAAAAGCTCTGTGTATTCAGAAAGCAAAGTTGTGTGTTACCTCCCAAAGGTGATGTTTTGTGAGTTTTTATAGGTTTCGTGTGGCATAATCCTAGTAGGACTTCTACTCCCCCATGCAGAGTCCTCATAGGATTCATACTCCTGAAAGATAATGCTTATCCTTCAACACCCTCTCACTGCTTAAACTAAGTGAGATGGTTTTTATCATGGCCGAACTCCTACATGACCGAAGTAATCATGGCTATGCTGAGCCGCAGAATAGACCGAACTATCCTTGGTTCGGTTCTTTCTTTTACACCTCCTTATCTCGGTTCTCTCCTGTACAAACCATGGTGTGTTTAGACCGAGCTACCAAGTAGCAAGGTTCTGACCGTTCTAACCACAACACATTATGACCGGACTAACTTCTGAGACCGGCCTAACTCAAGCAGCTTCCAGACTGGAGTAATATTGCATTCATCTCGGGCCGGAGTAATTCTGTACCTCTCTTGGACCGGATTAATTTTGTACTTCTCTTGGGCCGGAGTAACCTTGCGGCCTTTTCACTCAACCCTTCGTATTGTGGGCCATAATGACCATCTCCTAGCTCGGCCCAATTTTCACAAAAATTACCCTCTCATAATGTGTGGACGCCCACACGCGAGTGCACATGAGAGAGAGAGAGAGAGAGGGAAATATCAATGTTTTCCAAATCTAAGATTTGATTAGAAGAAGAAGAGGGCCCTAAGGGTGCAAGAGAGAGAAAGATCGATATGGGTTTTCCAAATCTGGAGATTGAAAAGGAGAAGAACAAGGGTTGGGGGAAGGAGAGAGAGAGAGATTTGGTTTTTAGATCTAGGGTTTGAAAAGGAGGAGAAGAAGAACAAAAAGAAGAGGGGAAGGAGATGGTATAGAAACAGGAGTTGCTTGGTGCTGGCAGTGATGACGGTTGCTAATGATGGTGGCGAACGGTGGTTATTGGTTATGGGTGCTACAGTGGTGGAGGTACGGAGGGAATGGGGTACATTGGTATTATTTAAAAATTGATGGTGTGAATTGAGAAAGGATCAAAGAAATTAAAATAGGGGTGGTATGAACTTAGAAGATGGTGTGTATTAATAGGATTGATGGTGTGTAAATATAAGAGTCTTATAATATACATCCCTCTTTGGGGGTATATACCATATGCAAATGAAAATAATTTATTGTATTGATATCTCAAATGTTATAATTAAAAAAAACATAATAAGTAATAACTAATACAAAAATGGGTTATAACTAAACACCATTTAAAGTCCCGCCACGTGTGTGTGGCGGGTGGTGGGGGTGGTGATTGGAGGGGGTCTCAATCATGACCCTTGGAGGTATATACTATATGCAAGTGATGATAGTTTATGGTGTTGATATCTCAATGTTATAATTAAAAAAAACATAATAAGTAATAACTAATACAAAAATGGGTTATAACTAAACACTATTTAAAGTGTAACAAAAAATCTTTTTGATCACAATCAAATTAATATAGGTGGTAAATGGGCACGTATGGGCGAGTCAAGACGGGTTATGCATTTAAAGCAACTCAATCCAAACCCCCTCTATTTAATAAATGGGCTTAAACAGGTTGGGTTGAATGTGATACAGGTTAGTCAAATGAATCAAACTAATACATTTATTTCATTTTTTAAAAATTATCTTATTTTTTATTTTATTTTGTACTTTATTATCTTTTTATAACGATGATGGTGGTGGCAAAGTGAAGATGATAGTGGTGGAGTCACAGTAATTGAAGAAGGTGGTGTTGGTGGTGTGTTAGCAGTGGTGGTGGTGGTGGAGTAGTGGTAGTAGAGGAGGAGGTGGTGGTGAAGTGGCAGTAGTGGAGTGGCGATGGTAGAGGAGGTGGTGGTGGAATTGGGTGGTAGTAATTGACGGTAGATGTGGCAAACCCAGACCTCAAAATCGACAGTAGTAATTTGGACGGATTTATATAGATTTTAAATGGATATAATTAGGCTGGTATATAGGTTTGGATTAGATTTGTCACCTTTAAAATCTCCACCACCCCTCAATCACTACCATCAAAAAGCCATCGCCACCTCTTTTTTTTGTTCTTTTTCTTCAAATCACCCCTCCATTGCAAAAGCACCATGAAGTCTCATCCTTATACCTCAACCGATCTCCCATCTGCTATGGTTGACACTGCACCACTATCATCACGTCACCACCAAAATACATAAATTTTAAAAATTAATAAAAACAAATATTAATTTTAAAATTCTAATTGTTATATCAAATAATTTATTTTAAATTTTTAACTTCAAAATTTACCATCCAATTTTTAAAACTTTATTTTCACCTTCCAGTTTGCTGGAAGTTGGTCTCTCTCTCTCTCTCTCATATGTTGTTGTTGTTGAGAGGCAATGATGCCCAGGCGTCACGATCTAATACCCTTGTATGCTTCACTCCTTGACTTGTGTTCAAACACCAAGAATTTGAAAAAGCTCAAACAAATCCACGCTCAAACCATAACGCTCGGAATTTCCCGCCACGACTTCATTCGAGCCAAACTCGTCTCCTCCTACTCTGCCTCTTCCCAAATGCTCGAAGCCTCCTTCATTTTCTCTCTCACCAACCGCAAACCAACCTTCCTCTACAACTCCCTCATCAGAGCCTTCTCTTCCCTCAATCTCTTCTCTCACTCCCTCTCCATTTTCCGCCAATTGCTCTTTGCCTGCAAACCCATTGACCGCCACACCTTGCCACCCGTTCTCAAGTCCTGTGCCGGCTTATCCGCTCTTGGGATCGGCCGCCAAGTTCACGGGGCGCTTCTCACAAATGGGTTTGCCTCCGACGTTGCGAATTCCAATGCTTTGATCGTAATGTACTCTAAGAGTGGGGATTTGGGTTGTGCCCGGAAGGTGTTTGATGGAATGCTTGAGAGGAATTCAATTACGTGGTCCACGGTGATGGCAGGGTATGGAATGCATGGGTATTTTGGAGAGGTGTTTGTGTTGTTTGACCGGATGTTGAATGCCGGTGTATTGCCTGATGGAGTGACTTTTACAGTGGTTTTGACAGCGTGTAGTCATGGTGGTTTGACGGATAAGGGGAGGGAGTATTTTGAGATGATGGAGAGGAGGTTTGGAATGAGGCCAGGGTTGGAGCATTACACTTGTATGGTGGATATGTTGGGGAGGGCGGGGCATGTTGAGGAAGCTGAAGCGTTGATTGTGGGAATGGAGGTGGAGCCTGATGAGGCTTTGTGGGGTGCATTGTTAGGAGCTTGTAAGATTCATGGGAAGTCGGAGGTAGCTGAGAGAGTTGCTGAGAAGATCTATGGGTATAAGTTGGCTTCGTAGGTCATTGTCTTACAAAATGCTAACGTGGTATTGCAGATCAGTGTCCAGTTCAAGTTTATTGTTGCTCAAGCAGTATTTGTTTCATGGGGACATTATTTGCATTGCTGAAGTTGCAATCAGAATTGGAAATTCATTACATCAAAGAACCAATTTGATAGCAGAATTAAAACCTTGAGGTTTATTATGATCATTTGAATCTGACTCGCAAATATTTTGGCAGCTCATTCCTTTTGTCAAAGAACCTGGCAGTGCTGAAACGTGGAAACTTTACAAAGTGGGATAACCGTGAAGGAAGAATTTTTCAATGCTCCCTTGATTTCACTATTATTTTTGCACCTCTCATTCTTTGTTTCAAATTATTGCTGGTGCTGAGAAGTATAAAACCTACGAAGGTGTGCTAATCACCAGGAAGGAAGGATTCTTCAGTAATTTTTTTATTGCACTGAGAAACTTCGATGCAAACTGAAATTCTTTGCATTGAGAAGGGGGTATAGGTGAGTACTTAATGGTCAGTGACATGTCCAAGCTGAGGTCAGATGGAAAATGAATTAAACTGGCAAAGAAAGTATCAGAACTATTGGGTTGGGGCAGGTTCAGATGATGTTTTCTACTTAAATTCACCATGCTTAAAAAATGGTTTACTTAAGGTTAATTATTCATTTTCTTTAAATAATGGTTTGTTATTGGTGTTAGTGGTGCATTGGAAATTGCACTAAATTTGGATGATGAAGACCCACATTTCTTGAAGGCCAAAAGAAATTATTTACATAAGACTTTTTTTTTTTTTTTTCTCCCTCTCTGAATCAAAGCTCTTTTAGGTGTATTTTTTTGATGTGAAAATATTTTCGTTCCAGCTAATGAGATTCAGTGGGATAATCTAGCTTCAATCTTTATATTGAAGAAATGAGGAAAGAGTTGTGTAATTATCTTAGGATTCTTCTAGCATTCTTTTGACGCAATTGACTGTCTTTTGTAATATTCTTTACATTTGATGCCTTTGATAATTGGATGTAGAGTGCTGGACCATATGACTGGTAAACCTGGTTCTTTTGTGTCTTTGAATGATTATAGCTGCTTGCTTCTAATGCTTTCTCTGGTGCATGCTATTGTATATTGGATAGCCATTACATCAAACACACTCCTTTTATTAGAAGAAGAGTTCATGAACAATTCAAATCTGAGCAATTCGCAAGTGTATCCCCAAGGCATATTTATGTCAGGTAAAGTGCCTTGTCGTTTTTCCCCTTGAAGAATATGCATGCCATTTACCACAACGTTACATTTTCTTTTCCAAAACAATGAGATGCCATAGTTATATGTCAATCTATAAAACAATACTTTTTAGACCAGAAAACAAGTAGTGTATACAAAATATTGGGAATCTCTAAGTATGTGTCTACTAGTAGGCTATATAACCACTACTAAAGCCATTTTACCAGTACTAACTGGAAGGATCGATACCTAACCGTGCGAGTTTCTAGACTTTCACCAAGGACACACAGGCCAATATAATAAAATCATAATCACACCCCCTAACTTGTTTTACTAAGGTATACACAATTTTTTCTCAAAACGATACATTTTCAATGTTTAAATGTGAAGTAATGTTCAATGCAAGATGTATGAGTAGTTGGTTTCAATTATTCTAATCCTCATGCAATTTTTACAGCAATCAAAACTATCCTCCACCGATAGCCTAAAATAGGTATCTCTATACAATAGATAAATGTCCAACAACAATAATAATTTCATAATCTTAAAATAGGAGTGATAATACATATCCAACTCCACTCTCATCACCAACGGATACATTCATTTTATCTTTTCAAAATCTAACATCTTTCCCCTTCATTCATACATCATGAATCAATGATTTCCAATAAAACATCTTTTACTTAAAAAAACCCAGGAGAAATTTCTAATAGTTCAATACAACTAAACAATATACTTATTCCCACAACCCTTATCAAGAACCTATTTGAAAACCCCTCTTTCTACATTTTCAAAATCAAATGGCTAAATCAAAATCCATAACTCTCAATCACTGTCCCCTTTTAAAGAGAAAATAACAAGGCTAAGAATCATACAAGAGTCGAAGAATCAAGATTAGAAGTAGAATAGAACAAGTGTTGAAGTTTGGCGGAGCCGAAAATGAAGTCTTCTCTGATTAGATTGATTTCTCCTATGAGTTCTAGTTTTACTCCAAAGCACTATGGTAGTGGAATCAATGGATTAGGGTGTATGGGAGGGTTTAGACAAGAACTACAGAGAGAGAGAGAGAGAGAGAGAGAGAGTAAAGAAATTAGGTTTTGGGATGTTTTAGAGAGAGAGAGAGAAGGTAAAAAGTGATAGAAAAGGACCTTTCCTCGATCTGATATACGCACAGACCGCTCGAGTGACTAACCCATCGTTTGAGCATAAGACACAAAAATGAAGGACTGGTCAAGCGATGAAAACATGGCTCGAGCGCACAATAACCCACTTCCAGAAATTTTGCAGATTGCAGAAGACCGCTCGAGCAACGAAATGACCACTCGAGCGAAGATCACCACACTCCCAGAAATTTTGCAACCTGCAGAAATATTGGAAGAACTTAAAGATTGCTCGAGCGACAAAAACATCGCTTCGCCGAAGCGAACAAGAAAAGAAACAAACATCAACTCTGTTGAAAAACTAATTCCCCACCAGTTTAAAACACAACTAACAACTCCAAACAACCAAACTCAACAACAACAAGGCAAGAAGGAGTATAGACAATGATAAAAAGTATTGGATCCTAGATCCAAGAACACGGAAGGGTTGGGTCGAACCTAAGCCATTATATTTTAACCCTATAGTGATTTTGATTGTTAATTTTGTCTAATTTGGTTGTGAAGACTTTAACAGTGTCACGCCCCAAGCCCCGTGACAATGTCGCATACTCATCCAAGTGAGTATGCAAAGCTAAGAGTCCAATCAAATAAACCAACAATATAAAATACTCAATTTAAATCTTTAATTATCATAACTCCAAAATCCATAAAAATAAATAATTCTTATCATATGAAATTGTCCACTAAGTCCACTAATATAATCCACTAACAAAATAGTAACTTAAAATCATAGTTCTACTCTTGGCACTCTCACAAGTTCAAAACCTGCGCAGCTCTACTCCTCAGAATCTGAAAAAAATAAAATAAAATAAGGGTAAGTTAGACAGCCCAACAAATAACAAGCCATCACTACTAGTTGGATCAAGTATACCCAAAAAAAAAAAAAGTTGATAACCAATAAATATATTTTTGCTACAATTCAATAAATGAACAATTATTTTGTAAGATGGTTTCATAGCTGAAAATAAACAGTGTAGCAATACAATTTAATTTAAAAGACAATGAGATAATTTGAAGTAGTTTCGTTGTTCAAATCGATGGTTCGATATTTAGATGGTTCAATGATTCGATTTACAAAACTCAAGTCTTGGTGACTACGGTCACTTAGCTCGTGACAAGGCCCAAAACCACACATAAGCCGGTGGTAAAACCCCCAAAGAAACTAGTTTTTGCACCAATAAATAACCCCCATTGGTTAGGGTCCAAATCATAGTCAGACTAGAGTGATGTTCAGAATTCGAACAAACACACTTTTAAATAAAATATTCAATATTTTCAGAATAAACATTTGGTTCAATTTTCAGAATAGTTTCACGAAATATTCAAATAATTTTCTTAATAATATCTGATGTTGTTTTATACTTGATCCATATTTTATTTTAAGAGAACATAAAGGCTATAAATAAATATTTATAATTTCAAACGATTCAATAGGAATAAAAATGAACCAACAGTAATAGAGGGCTACTTACCTCAAACAACTAAAATAATATTGCACTACACTAACTCCAAACACCTAGCTCCACCACTTCAATCCCACAAACCTAATAAATAGAACCTCAAATAAATTAATATTTTGATGTCTTTCACACCAACAAAAACCCACTATATATATGCAATGCTTAAAATCCAAGAGACACCTAATCAATCCACCCAATTTAATAGCCAAACACACCTTACCCAATGTACAAAACTCAAATGTCAAACCACACCCACACAAACTGCTCCACTGTTTCTACTCTTTACCCAGACTACACTCCACACGTGGCACCATTCACCAAGCTCTCAAAACCAAGTAGGCACATACAGGTTTACATAAAACTTCGGCATTTTTTTAATGTATTTTTTTATCAACAGAAAATTAATAACTAGTGATACAAGAAGGATCTTACCCCATTCAATGGTTGTATCAGAATATCCCTAACATGCTGCCCTCAATTCCTATCGCAGCCTCCCTTGAACCTTCTGTAAAATTATGATACAACATAATGTGAAAACCTTATTTTTAAAGGGGTTAATAACCTAATTCTTAAAATTACTAAATTACCCATACAATTTATTTTAACTATTAATCTATCCAAAAATAATTTTATACATAACTTGGGTGTTACATTCTCCCCCTCCTTAAAAAGAAATTTCGTCATCGAAATTTGAAATACCTGGAGTCTCTAAAAGTTGTGGATACTTTTGCCTCATTTCATCCTCGAGTTCCCAAGTAGCTTCTCTTTCCGGGTGATTGCTCCATTGAACCTTAACGTAGTGGATGACTCGACGCCTCAAAACCTATTCTTTCTTATCAACAACAATTTGTGTAGGGTGTTCCTTATATGTCAAATCCTCCTTAAACTGCAACGGTGCATGATCAATCACATTACTAGGAGCTGGTATATACTTCCTTAACATTGAGACATGAAAAACATTATGAACTCTAGCTAGTGAAGGTGGTAGGGCAAGTCTATAAGCTATCTCTCAAATTTGATCTAAAACCTCAAATGGCCCAGCAAATCTAGGACTCAATTTACCATGAACACCAAACCTCATTGCTCTTTTCATAGGAGACACCTTAAGAAACACATGGTCTCCAACCCCAAACACCAAATCGCGTCTCTTGTTATCTGTATAACTTTTCTGTCCATTCTGTGCAGTGCGAAGTCGCTCTCTAATAAGATTGATCTTGTTCACTGTTTGTTGCACAATCTTAGGCCCCAACAACTTCCTTTCACCCACATCATCCCAACAAATAGGTGATCTACACTTCCGTCCATATAAAGCCTCATATGGTGCCATTTGAATGCTTACATGATAACTGCTATTATAAGAGAATTCCAGTATAGCCAAATGCTTATCCTAGGAACCTCAAAGATTAATAACACAAGCCCTCAACATGTCTTCCAAGGTCTGAATAGTTCTCTTTGACTATTCATTAGTCTGAGGATGAAAGGCAGTACTAAAATTCAATTTAGTACCCAAAGCTGTATGCAAACTCTTCCAAAACATAGATACAAATTTGCTATCTTTGTCAGACACTATGGTCACCGGAATACCATGCAAACTCACAATCTCTTTGATATACAATTTTGCAAACTTCTCTAAGGAGAACCCCACCTTAAAAGCTAGAAAGCGAGCGAATTTGGTCAATCGATCAACGATAACCCAAATATCATTGTTACCATCTTGGGTTCTAGGCAGCCTTGTCACAAAATCCATGGCAATATGTTCCCACTTCCACTCGGGAATAGGAAGGGGTTGTAACTTACCTACAGGTCTTTGATGTTCAACTTTCACTTATTGACACACCAAACATTGAGTAACATACTGAGCAATTTCCCTTTTCATATTATTCCACTAAAAGTTCCTCTTCAAGTCTTTTTACATTTTAGTGCTCCCTGGATGTATAGTATACCCTGAACTGTGAGCTTCTCTCAAGATTTCTCTTTTGAGCTCTAAATCATTAGGCACACACAACCTCTCTCCAAATCTCAAGGTTCCATCTTCATGCATACAAAATTCCATCTGTAGCCCTATTTCCATTTCAGCCTTAGGTTTTTGCAACTAAAGATCTTTTCCCTGAGCATCTTTAATTCTATCAATCAATATAGGTTGAACTCTAAGGTTTGCCAAATGCACTCCATGGTTATGCCATCTAATCTCGATATTCAACCTTAGC